CTGAAAGGGTGAGATGCTGGTGGCAGAGCTGGAGAAGGTGTTGTGGGCGTATTCCACCCAAGGCAACAACAGACACCAGTCTTCAGGGGCAGTATTGGTGACACAGTGGAGAGCATTTTCCAGCTCCTGGTTCAAGAGAAGCTTGACCGTTGGTTTGAGGGTGATAACCGGAAGAAAGACAGGGACGTGCACCGATGGCTGTACAAAAGGCTGACCAGACGTGTGAGGTGAACTGTGGACCACGGTCGGAAACAATAGTGAGGGGAGTGCCGTGAATGCAAAAGACGTGTTGAACCAGGAGCTGGGCTGTTTCGGCGGGGAGTTGAGGAAGGGCGAGGAAGTGAGCAGCTTTGGAGAAGCGGTCAACAATGGTGAGGATGGCTGTGTTGCCTTGAGAAGGAGGAAGCCCGGTGATGAAATCTAGTGCAATATGAGACCAGGGCCGACTGGGTGTAGTCAGTAGCCGAAGGAAACCCACAGGGGATTGATGGAGAGGTTTGGACTGCGCACAAGGAGCACAGGCGGCTACGTACTCCCTGATGTCTTTTTCTAGGGTGGGCCACCAGAAGTAATGTTTCAGGAGGGAGATGGTTCGTTGTACCCCTGGATGGCATGCTAACAGAGAGGCATGGGCCTAGTTAAGGGTCTGGGCCGTAGCAGCCTGGGGTACATATAATCTATCTGGTGGTCCACCCCCGCGATCAGGTTCTTGTTGTTGGGCCTCTCGTATGGTGTCTTTGATCTCCCATGTAATGGTGGCCACCATACAGGAGGCAGGCAGAATGGTTTCTGGTGTATCATGCGTAGCCAAGGGATTGTACTGTCAGGACAGAGCGTCGGGTTTTTGGTTGCGGGACCCCAGACGATAAGACGGGGTAAACCGGAACCGATCAAAGAACAAGGCCCACCTCGCTTGTCGGGGGTTCAGTCTTTTTGCTGACTGGAGGTAGGCCAAATTCTTATGATCGGTCCAGACTAAAAAGGGTTGGGAGGCACCCTCGAGGAGGTGCTGCCATTCTTCCAAGGCCAGTTTTACTGCTAACAGTTCTCTGTTGCCCACGTCATAGTTTCGTTCGGCCAGGATCAACCACGATGAGAAATAGGTGCAGGGGTGCAAGGCGTGGTCTCCCTCGGACCGCTGAGAGAGGACTGCTCCTACCCCAGTGTCGGACGCGTCCACCTCGACCATGAACTGCTGTGAGGGATCAGGTTGGAGGAGTACGGGGGCTGTGGTGAACTGGTCTTTGAGGTTTTGGAAGGCCTGTTCCGCTGTCCTGGACCATGCACTCTTCACCTTAGTGGAAATGAGCTGAGTGAAGGGGGCTGCGACAGTGCAGTAATTCTTGATGAAACAGCGGTAGAAGTTTGCAAAGCCCAGGAAGCGTAGCAGGTCCTTTTGACAGGTGGGAGTGGGCCAATTGGTGACAGCTGTAATTTGGGAGGGGTCGGCGCGTAGTCTTTCTTGTTTGATGATGAGCCCCAGGAATG